GAGGTGTAGTTTGTAAGCCCCTTTTGCACTCGTTATATTTAGGTTCGAGGCACTACCAATTGGTGGTCCTCACCTTAGTCTTAGGGTCTGAGGCAAGGGTTGATTTCAAATTACCCTATAAGCCCTCATCTTTCGGGCAATTTCTTCAACAAGTGTTGTTGGGATGTAAGCCCCAATCTTCTAATAAAATATCATCTTAAACCAAAATTAGGTTGTTCAAATATAAAGCCAAACATAGGATAGTTTGGGCTCTGAGTTTCATCTCAGAATCAAGTGCCCCTACTTCATCTCCTTTGGCTTTCATTACCAAAATCTAATCCTTAGTTGATCAACTTCTCCTTGAAATTCCTAAAGGGCCAAAACTTTAGCCAATATTTAAATGACTTCAAAAATAAAGCAAAACCACTAGTTTAATCAAAAGTTTTCCTAAATCAAAATTTGGGATATAATTAACCATAGGGGCTTGCCCTTATGGGACGTCTATACCCCAAAAATAAATAAACACCACTCGACCAAACATCGAGTGGGGGAATCTCTGTTAATAATTGTAAATTTTATCATTGAGTCCATAAGAAAATGATATTTTTATCATTCGGGATAATATATCATCATTCTTATGCCGCACTCGATTATAAAATATGCAATCTGTTTGAGGATACAAAAATTCTCCAACATGAACCTGGCAACTCGATGGGTCAGGTCTGGGTCCATATTTTTGACTCGTTTACATACCCGAGCAGGGTTAGGGTTGACCCTTTTAAACCCGGGTCAGTTCTGGCTTCGACCCGAACCCGACCCGTTACCCGAAATTGACACACCTAATATTGATGTAACTTCCCAAGAGTTCACCCATCCCCCATGCTTAACTGTGGAGTTTCTTAAATTAAATTCCAACCATTACACCAAAAGTCTTCTCAATGTTTAAGAGTTTAATTTCTTTTACTTAAGAGGGTTCACAATCTCCTCTACTTAAATAATTAAAGTCCTAGTTAGCACCTTTATCCCAGAATCATCTACCAGGCATATAGGATTCTAGAGGTGGCCCCTGCAAGTTCAAATGATAGCACCCATCATGTAGCACTTTAATTCATATATAGTTCAAGAGGTGGCTTCCATGATATAGCACTTTGTCTTGTATGGCATTTAGTTCCCATATTTCAACTAGTGTATTGCTCTACGATCATTTGTAATAGCCCAAGATTTTAATTATCGAGATACTGTCTATTTTGGTCTAAGAGCCTCACAGTTTTGTCTAGTTGGTGTAGCTTCCCAATAGGTCACCTATCCCAGAATTACTATGAGATAAGCCCGTTTAACTACAGAGTTTCTTAAATAAAATTTCAACCATTACAACAAAAGATGCCTCGATGTTTAAGAGATTAACTTCTTTTACTTAAGGGGTTTCATAATCATACTCACTAGTCTACTTAGTCAAAGGAGGTAATCAACTCAACTTGATAGAAGGATCTTTGTCAATAGTCATGGGTTGCTTCGTCTAAGGGTACCTTATAGACATGGGGTGAATATTTGCCTAAGGGGATAAATTTAAATCCACCCTAGCTAACAGAGAGCTTTGTGCCATATTGATTATATCCTATTGATTTATATCTCAAGGATTTTGATGCCATTAGGGAACATACGGGCTCTGACTATGACCGTAATTTAACGATGTTATTTGGCAGCAAAATCATCAGGTTCAGAGGGTCCTAGTCATAACAGTTTAACTATGGAGCCATTTAGCAACAAGACCCATAATGTCGTGCCATTTGGGGTCAAAACCACTGGTTAGAGGCACGTGCCACATCATTACTAACAAACGACTGTTTGAGAATGAATCCTAATAATATTATTGACAATACATTAGCTTTTTGTGAGCTAAAGTAATTTTAGAATTTGTCCACATCGACAAATTATTTTGTAGGGTGGATTGATTTTGCTTTAAGTAGTTAATGATTTATTTTAATTTTAAATATTTTAAATATTTTAGGCTTTGACATTTTTGTAGTTTTGAATTTTTCATGAAAATTTAGGAGGTACTTTGAAATATTTGGGATCCCTTCCAATTGATATTTTTTATCAACACGGCCACCATCAATATTTTTTATGGGTAATTTTATTTCATCAGGTCGAACCTTAACGACATAGGGTCGAGTTTGTCGTAAGCTTTATGCCTTTGTTAATAAATTTTCCTTATTGAGGGACTTAAAAACTTAATATGAATGTATAAAATAAATATTTTGATCGACACCATGACAGTATGATT